TCCCAAGCAAACGCCACCGTCTTCCTCGCCAAGTTCTACGGCCGCGCCGGCCTCATGAACCTCATCAACTCCGGACCCGACAACCTCCGCCCTGGTAAATATCAAAGCCGTACAATCTTCAACAAGGGGAAAACAAAAAACGAGGCCAAAAATTTATAGACTAATTTCCAAACTGCTTTTTTTTTAATTGCAGCCATCTTTCGATCTCTGCTCTACGAGGCCTGCGGTCGGATTGTGAACCCGATCTACGGTTCGGTCGGCTTATTGTGGTCCGGCAGCTGGCAGCTTTGCCAGGCCGCGGTGGAGGCTGTTCTCAAAGGAGCTCCGATTGTTCAGATTCCATCGGAGACCGCTGCGTCTACGCCCGTTCCTCCGCTCAAAGCCTACGACATCCGCCACATCAGCAAAGACTCCGATCCTGCCGGATCCAGACCCGCTGATAACCTCCACAAGGTCCACAAGACCCGAACCCGTTTCAAGCGGGCCGGCAACAAAAAGACCGGTGATGAGTCCGATCGAGTTTTTACCCGGGCGAAGAGCCATGAGTCGAGTGGTGGGAGTCACGTGAGCGAGAGCAGGGAGAATGAGGCGAGCATGGCCTCCGTCGACACCGTGGAGGCCTCGCACGTGAGCCAGGGGGAGCCGGCGGAGGAGAGCGAGGTGGAGCTTGAGCTCACGCTCGGGTTCGAGGTTCATCGACCGGTGGCGACTGCGCCACCCGAGATCGGGGTGTTGGATGATGACACGTGTCGTGTGGAGCTTGGGCTAGAGCTCGCTGCTGCGTGATACTCGATCGTGTTTGTTTTGATGGTATCTTAGTTAGTGGAGGTGAAAGAAAACAGTTTTGAGACAAATGTTCGATTGGTTCTTTTTTCTTTTTTTTTCAATCGGTTCTTTCTTTAGGAAAATACTAGTCTCATGTAATAATTTGTTCCTTTGTATATAGAGGCTTTAAACCCTAGTCCAGTAATAATTTGATGAGCTTGTGGAATTTGCTTGACGATACACCTTTTAAATTTAATTGCTTGAAATCATTGGTGTGGTCTAATATTATTCCCGATCTAATTACAGTTTTGAAAGGAAAATTCGACCTAAAATATGGACCAATAGGGGATGACTTTTCACAATACAAGCAAACGAGTTTTACGTGGTTCGACAAGTTGTTTACGTCCACGAGGTAAAAAGGGGATGACTTTTCACTAGTAGAGAAGTAGAATACAAATAGAGATTATAAATTCATTCAAAATCTCTCAAACAAACCTCTCAACAAAATCCTAACCAAATTGCTTAGAAAACTCTCTTTTCTGTGCACAAAACAAACCTCTTTTTAACTCTTTTTTTCCATTTTCTTAACCGTTTCATACATATAGAAATCCTAAAACCAAAAACATAATAGGAATTCTAAAATAAAAAACAAAACAGAATAGGAATACTAATAATATGTTACTAAAACAGATTTGGAATGATGTTACCAAAACAGATTAGGAATCCCAATAACCTATTACCAAAACAAATTAGAAAACATATTAAGAACCTGCTATACAACAATTCTCCACCTCGGCGAAGTTTTTCCAAAACTGAACCGACACCAATATCAACCAAACGTCTTACTTGTTGCGTATAGTACGAAGTGGAATAAATTCACGACAACGGTCTCAATCCACAACAAGTTAAGAACCCAAACGAGAATGCACACAAACTCCAAATATCGGTATCAACTCATCAAACCGGCTGCATCAAAATGATTGTCTACGTATCCTCTTGTCCAAGGAATCAAGCCTCACGTAGTTCACCAAATAGCCTCCAAAGGCCCTCAATCAACTAGAAGGATTCTCAATCCTTCACGATCATCACCAACTTCACCAAATAGCCTCCAAAGGCCCTCAATCAACTAGAAGGATTCTCAATCCTTCACGATCATCACCAACAAATCTGCAGCTGATAACTCTCCCACTAATCAACTAGAAGGATTCTCAATCCTTCACGATCATCACCAACAAATCTGCAGCTGATAACTCTCCCACTGACCTCAAAGTGAAACGAACCAACACCTCCACCTGAGGTGGACCAATATCCATAGCCAAATTCGAACTGTGTCCGCCAGCTGCACCCGAATCAACGAACTCATCATCTGCATCCACATTAACATGATCCCCAATTTGTGTCATCTCAACTGGAGTCCCAAACGATTTAGAATGATCTAGAAAACATGGAGTAATCTCCACCCAACGTGAAGTAGCATCACTCTCCACCCTCTGAGATATCCCAATGATCTGTCTAACACTCTTCACCTGCTGAGAGTCAAATATGACAGTACTACTCAGAACAATATCGAAATCCCATAACTGGTAACCAAACACGTCTCTGAATCCTAAATGTGCACTCGAATCAAATATCACATCCTCGATGTGATAATATGTTGGACATCTAAATATTCGAAGCAGCCCAAAATCTGAAGCAGCTCCACCAGATCCAAATACTCCAATCGCGGCAGACGGCAACCTATAAATAAGATGACTCTAATATGTTAAAGTCTCAGCACCAAAACTCCTCTGTAAACTATTGCTTGACATCAAACACCGATCATTCTTCAGTAAGGAGCAACCCATCAAATTTGCCATCTCATCTCGTTGCCCCAATGTTTTCTTTCCAATGAAGTATCTCAAACTACCCTGAGCTAGGCACAAATGCAGAAAATGATCCCTCTTGTATTTCTTATCAAAATCAGAACTAAGTAAATTTACCTTTCTGCCTATACACTTCTTCCACCTGTTGTTGATTACTAGGACTTCACTCAAATGGGACTTGGTTACAACCCACAAATGTCTAGAATAGTCTACAACACAGAAAACCAAATACATATTATCTCCCAATGATGCCTCATTAGAAGGCCCCAAATGCCTATGTGAACATCATCTAGAAGGTCCTTCCCTAGGTGAATAGAGGAGTCAAACTTCACATTGGTCTTTTTTCTCACACCAACATGTTCACAGGACTTCAATTTGCAAGTCAAAGCACCTCTCTCCAATCGATGTACGGAATCAATACTCGAATGTCCCAACCTCCTCAAATGTCACAGTCTAGCCGAATAAATAGAAGTCGTCAGCGCTCCACCTATCACCGTGCTCTCAATCAAATAGTATAAATTATTCTTTCTGACGCCCTTCATTATAATCATGGATCCCATTGTGACCTTCAGAGATACATCCTCTAAGATCACTCTATAGCTTGATGCCTCCAAAACTCCAAGTGAAATGATGTTTTTCGACAACTGCAGAACGAACCTCACTTCCTTCAATTCCTTAGTCACCCCGTCACACATTTTGATCCAAACTGTTCCAATACCACTAATAGTGCATTCATGGTCATTACCCATGAGCACGACATCTCATTTTTCTAACTCTTCAAAGCTGAAGAACCAATCCCTCCTAGGATAAATATGGTATGAAGTACCCGAATCCAACATCCATTCCGTAGAGTCGGCATCACAAACTAACGGTAGTGCAGGGCACGAGTAGCTCGAAGAATCCGAATCTGAATTGTCGCCACTAGTCTTGGCAACATTCACCTCTGAAGCTTGTATAGCTTTCCCCTTATTCTTCCCGGCTCGATCTTTCAACTTTGGGCATTCAGACTTCCAATGTCCATTTTCTTTACAAAAAACACATTGATTCCTACCAACTGAAGGATGTACTCCTTTAGACTGTGACATCCTATTTCGGTTTGGACTTTTCCCTCTTGCGGTCAATGCCTCCGCTACTACATCATTAGAAGAATCCTTGTCTTTCTTCCTAAGCTGATAGTTCACAAGTGCAGCGGTGACCTCACTATACGAAAGAGATACATTTTCATTAATTAGGATAAGAACAAAGGTCTCATATTCCTCGTCCGACAAGGAGCTCAACAACAACAACGCCTTGTCCTCATCATCGATCATAACATCCACATCCGCCAAATCCGCAAGAAGCTTCGTGTAGTTGTTCATGTGATCACTAATTGAGATTTTCTTCTTCAACTGGAAACGGTAAAGTCTCCTTTTCAAATGTAAGCAGTTCTCAACACTCTTCGTTAAATACTTTCTCTCAAGAATCTCCTAAATCTTCTTTGCAGAAGTCTCATTGATCACATCATATTTTAGATTCTGTGTTAAACAAGACCTAATCACGCCACACAACGTCTTCTTCCAAACCTTCTCTTCAATGTCGTCCATCTTGCCGTCCAACTCCAAAGCGTCTTCTAAATTTTGCGCGTTCAGCGCATCCAAAACTTCACATCTCCGTAAGCCGAAGTTGTTCGTGCCATTAAACATCTCCACATCTATCTTCATAGAGTGGATATTCAAACTTTAAACGGTCTTCACGCTAGAAGTACTACTCTCAACGCCTTCTTTCACATCCATCTTCCTCAAAACACCAACAAACCAATGCGAAACAAACTGAAAAGAAAATAGATCCAAACTGCGAGAAAGGTAGATTTTTACCTCCAACTGAAACCCTAACAAGAGCCTCCGAAAGATTTCACCCCCACACGACGAAAGACAAGATCCACAATAGTAAAAATCCCACTTTTATCACTAACTAAAACTCTAGACGAGCTTCCAAAGCGATATACTCCTCCACCTAATTCCAAGCGTAGCCTTGCTCCGATACTACTTGTTGGGGTTTCGAGGGCTAACACAAACGCTGAGAGAGAAGGCCAAACACAATCAAATAACGACACGAACACAAACAAATGAATTTTACGTGATTCAGCAAGTTGCCTACGTCCACGGGTAAGAAGGAGATGTGTTTCACTAATAGAGAAGGAGAGTGTAAATAGATATTACAAATTCACTCAAAATCTCTCGAACAAATCTCTCAAAACTCTCAAACAAAACCCTAACCAAATTACTCAGAAAACTCTCTTTTCTGTGCACAAAACAAACCCCTTTTTAACTCTTTTTTTTCTTTTCTAAACCGCTGCATATATATAGAAATCCTAAAACCAAAAACATACTAGGAATTCTAAAACTAAAAACAAAATAGATTAGAAATTCTAATAACATGTTACCAAAACAGATTTGGAATCTTGTTACCAAAACAGATTAGGAATCCCAATAACTTGTTACCAAAAAATTAAGAAATATATTAGGAACCTGCTATACGACATGTTACTTCCGTATTTAATGTGAAGTGACTGGAGGCCAACGGTACCAGTGTGGTCTGATGTGTCATAAAAACTATTGATGATAGAGAAATGATGACGCCGATCATGCATTTAATGGCGTTTATTATGAGGTGATCAGTGGTCAGTGAGCGGGAGGGGGCTCGAGGTAGTCGTCGCCTTCCTACTCGTCCGGTAGAAGGTCGAGAAGTATTGTCTTTTGAGTCACCTTCGTGAGATGTCGGTCGAATGGTCGGTCAAGTAGGTTGATCAAGAAGTCAACCTAACCAGGGGTCGACATGTAACACCTTTTGAATCGCCCTCGCGAGATGTCGGCGTGTCGAGTCGTCCGAGCTAGGTTTTTGGTTATCACGAAGTGAAGAGCTGGCTCGATTACGCATAATGTGGGATACTTGTTTGCTATTGATTTGAGAATACTTTTTAGCACTAAGACAGCTATAACAAGAGCTAAGTTTATGGTCCAAGTAATCAATTAATATCTTTTCAGCGATGGTCCTTCCTGTGTAAGGATTGAATAGTAGTTTGAGCTAATACATATTAGTTACACCCTTTTATGTTAAAATTGGTTCTTACACTCTATTTGAGTCCCATCACCCTTCGACTGTGTGCTCATTTTCTCCCCGGTTCTCCCTAGCAGAGGTATTTGTTATATATATCACCATTCGATTGGGCTTGTTTTCT